GGCGCGGCCCCCTCCTAATGCCCCCTCCTCTGGGCCCGGCCTCCTCCTAATGCCCCCTCCTCCTCCACAGCATTCCATTGGCAGCTGGCAAATTTGATAGAGAGCTATACTTACTAGGAATTAAAAGACGGATTTCGAAGGAGATTCAGAGGCAGCAAGCACTACAGAGTCAGAACTCCAGCACCATCTGTTCCGTTTCTTGAAGTTTGCTGAGCGAGGACCCACAGCCGCAACATGGGGTGATTGTATTTGATCAAAACCCAGCGGGAAGGACGAAGAGTTTGCCGCCTTTTGCGGATCTGAGGGACTGTGGCGCCCGTGCCACTGTGCCAGCGTCCCAAGAAGGAAGCCACCCCTAAGTGAGCCTGTCCTTCTCCATGGCAGGTCCACACGGCATGGGTGGGCAGGGCGTGGACCCGCCGCAGTACCACAGACCCCAGCCACTCTCGGGGGCAGACGTCAGAATCCGGTCCTGAGCAGCTCCCGTGCCCTGGGGGCAGTCACAGAGCCCCCCCACCCCACCCCATCCCCGCGTGCTCTGCGCCAGCCTCTCCCTCCACACCCGGAGCAGGCGTCCATCTGTGTCCTCCTGGCAGCCCCTCAAACACACACCACCCCATGTCACACAGGTGTCCAGAGCCAGGCTGGACCTGGGCTAGGTGACCCCTGGGGCCTCAGACCTCTCAGTGGGCCCCAGAGCCCAGCTGAGGAAGCCACATGGCCTCCAGGACGTGGCGTGGTTCCCCTCCGCTAGGCTGCAGGTCTCCTGCCGTGGGGCAAAGAGGCCCGCACCCCAGCATAAGGGCCTCCCCGGCTGAGTGAGAAGCCACCTCCCCTCTCCTCTCATCGGCCAAGCCTGTTGGCATGAAACGATCTCATGGTTTCAGTGACGTAGACCGTTTGCTTCTGTAACTCCAGCCACAGAATGGCAGTGGAGCCTGGCTGGGGAACTGCTGGAAGCTTAGGATGCCACCACCTTGAACACCTAGGCCAGGGATCCCCACCATGTCCCGGGTTTCTTTCTTCAAGAGTTTAGAACCGTTCATTCTTGCTTTGTGTCCCATTCCATCTCTTGAAAAAATGTAGTCTTTGAATGTGTGAAAATCTAGGGACATTCAATTTAGTCTTTTAAATTATTTATTTTTCCATATTTATATTTTTAAATAAATGCATATATTGAGTCTTAAACTCTCTTTCTGGCCAAAGACTGAAACCTGGAAGAAACAATATACATGCATACCCTGTTCTCACAATGT